TTTGCTATCACGCTTCAGCTGGAGACACATGCGGAGACACAGATGCAGGTCAGCTAGAGTTGGTGACATTATTCCCGCTGCTTTAGCACAAGTACACGTGGGTCACTATGGGCTTTCGAGCTAGTGTGTGTCTGCAGGGCGTTCTTGCACACCGGCTGCCGTCGCATATCATCCGAGTGCCACGTTGTTGGTAGTTGAGGAGATTTCCCCCTTACATAAAGCACTTTGAGCTATACAAATGTAATGAATTTTTATCTATTATAATTTTAATCAATATAGCGGATAAGTCTGCCATATTGACCCTTACGCTCTAAAAAATGCTGTTGGGTCAAATATGGACAAACCCAAATGTTGGGTTAAAAATTGAATTAAAAATGTACGGTTGAAAGTGAATGTTCAAATTTTAAATGACATTTTTAACCCAACATTTGCGTTTGTCCATATTTTACCCAATTTTGGGTTAATACAACCCAGCATTGTTTAGAGAGTACCAAAAAAGAAGTTTATTCAAGTTAATTGAGAAAGTATAACTTCAATCTACTTTATATATTGAGCTACATCTCAGAAATATACTTAATGCACCTCACTCTTAAAAGTATATTTAAGTATTTTGACTTACACTGACAGAAAAGTCTAAGTACATTTGGCCTACAGTACATGTAGTCAATATAATTATATATAATCATCTAAGTATACTTGGCTTGTAGTTGTGTTTTGTCTTGTAATTGAGTAGCATTTGAAATACTTTTTCACATAGTTTTACAGTTTACTGCGCTTTGATATATTCTTCTTGTTATTTCCCGTATAATAAATTGGATGTCTCGCACATTCACAGAAAACAGCTTAGTTCTACGTTGAAATATGAGGTTTCATTTCGTGTCTTAGGCCATCGATGTGTGCACTGTAAAAAAATATTGTTTCTTTAACTTAAAAAATAAAGTAACCCGATTGCCTTAAAATTTTAAGTTGATTGAACTGGAAAAAGTGAGTTAATACAATGAAGGAGATTAATTTAATCATCAGAAACTCAAAATAATAAGTTATTTGAACTAAATAAATTATTTAAGTTGATTTGACAAAAGAAAAAATGTTGTGATAACAAATATTGAAAATATTTTTTTACAGTGTACCTACATTTACAAGTCATTAAATCATGTTTAATTTGGACTGAAATCATGTTTAAAGTGAACTATCCCTTTAAGGAATAACTAATTGCATTTACCATAAATTTTACTTTAAACACAAAAATCCAAAAATATTATAGTCTATCGATTTCAAAGACTGTTTTGCTTGTGGCTCTGCCATGTACAAGCAGGCCTGTGCTGAACATTATCGATCGAATCGATGTCGAATCGGTGAAGCATATGAACGTTTAGCTTCACTTGTCAACCTCTCCACGGGGCTGATATTGGCCTACTGCTTATGAGTTACTCCAGACTGAGCTGTTACAGGTCACTCTCTTATCAAATTAAAATCAGACAGCAGGAGGACATCTCGCACGTGAGTTTAATTTAGCAATCAGCGGCGGCGATCAGCAGCACAGGTGCACCGAGGAGTGAGCTGTCATGTTGAACAGGTGCACGGGCTGGTGAGGAGCCAGCTCTGTGCTGTGCTGCCTCGCTCTGTGCTGCATAATTTGGGCTGAAATGAATGGAATTCTGGATCGGAGGGGGAAGAGGTGGAATGCCAGGAATGCCCGTCTCAAATACCATCTCAGCACACACCTGCCTACAGTGCCTCACATACTGTAGGCCTCAGGTGTGTTTGCATTTAAATTACATCTCGTTTTCGGCGGACACTGTGGAGGTCACAGCCTAGAGGAGAATGCACTTTAATGGCTCAAAGAAATGGTTCTATTTAGAACCAGAAATGGTTCCATCCCCCGCTTCATATATGGAACTCCAAAATGGTTCTATTGGCCAAGTATGGAACCCCAGGGTTCTATATAGAACCCAGAGGAACCATTTTTTAAAGAGTGTATAGAACCTTTTAGGGGTTCCAAATACGTAGCGCTGATAGAACCTTTTAAGGTTCTATATAGAACCTTTTCTTCTAAGAGTGTGGACTTAAAACTAAAAACAAGTTAAGAAATATGAAACTATGTTTCCATCCCAGATAAATAAGTGTACTTTTCTGCTATTTTTAAATGACCCTGCAGTCTCTGAAATCCCCCAAAAAAGCATGAGAGTTAGGAAAATGTTCACATTTTGAGTTAATGAGATGCCATTTATGATGTTTGTCTCGAATGGGAGCCCTTGTGAAAAAGAACTACTCAAGTCAATTTTCTACACAGAAGGCCTACTTATTATGGAAATAAAATCCTTGAAAATAATACTTAAGTGTGAACTGCAATTAAAATGTATTACAGCTTTATTTTAGTGTCTTTCTAGGATTTAAGTGGCCTACATCTCATATCTATTCTATTGTCCTTATATGGTTAAGTGTACTTAAGTCTTCAAATTGAGTATTTGCCAGTAGTTTTGTTTTAATACACTTTTTTAAGATACACTCTACACTCTCAAAAAAAAAGGTACAAAAAAGCTGTCACTGGGGTTATACTAAGGTAAACTTTTTTCCATTTTAGGTGCTAATAAGTAGATTTTAGGTGCTAAAATGTACATTTTAGGTGCTAATATGTACACGTAGGTGCTAATATGTACATTTTAGGTGCTAAAATGTACATTTTAGGTGCTATTATGTACATTTTACTAGGTGCTAATATGTATAGGTGCTATTCTGTACATTTTAGTTGCTAATATGTGCATTTTAGGTGATATTGATATTTTAGGTGCTAATATGTACATTTAAGGTGATATTATTGACATTTTAGGTGCTATTTAGTACATTTTAGGTGCTAATATGTACAAGGTAGGTACCAATATGCACCCTTTAGGTACAAAAGTGTATCTTTTGAAAAGGTACAACCCCAGTGACAGCTTTTGTACCTTTTTTTCTGAGAGTGTAAGTGCACATTCAGGACAATAAATCACGCTTCTTTTTCACAATAGAGCCTTTTGAATTTGTCAGGGTTAAAGCCCTTAATGTTTGTCATTCTCATCATTTCTTAATTTCTTCTTAAGGAAGTGTAGTCGAGGTCTGGTTTGATGTGAACTTTGTTTTCATTGTGCCGGCTCAAGTTAATAATGTGTTTGCAACTGTAGTTTTAAGGGTGTTATTCTTTGTTAGAGGGCTGTTGAGTTAAACCTTGACTGAGAATCTGTTTTCGGTTTGGTTATTAATTTCTTGGTCCAACTCTAAACACGAAATGTTTGGATCCCCTGCGTAGTTTGACAGGGGGCAAAGTGCAACAGTACTCCGCTAATATGATTCTGCTTTAAAGGCAAGATAAAGGCTTTGGAATTTCGTCAGAGTTGTAGCACAGCATGGAATGAATGGAATGCTTCCTATTTTAAGTCAAATCATTATGACCTCACTGACGCCACAACAGTCACTCCTTTACTAAACACTTAAACAGTCAGCTAGAGCTTAAATGTCATCTTTAGGTGTTATTGGGAAGGAAATTACATCAAGTGAAATAGAATAAGCTGAAAATAGGAAAGACAGACTTAATGAATGCATGAAAATGTAACCCCCCAATAAGTTCAACTCAAGTTCATAAGTTCATAAGTCATGCTGAGAATTGGTTAAGAGGTCACAG